AGGGGAGTAAGAATAATAAGAATTTATCTAGTCTAATAAATTTAGTTTAGGGAAAGCAGAAGAGAGGCTATAGAGCACATTGACTAATTCAAACCACAATGGTCGGGTAGCAAGCACAGCTAGTGGACTGGACGGTTGGCCAGCCAAGCGTGCACTGGTTTCAAAAAAGAAGAAGAAGAAAAGAAAAAGAAGAAAAGAGAGTTGGAAAGAAGGGAGATAAAAGGAGTATAGAACGTAAATCAGAATTAATAGATAGAAAAAATAAAATAAAAATAAATAAAAACAAAAACATAAATTAGAATAAATAAAATAAATAAATAATGATAATAAATTAGTTAAGTGTTTGAATATATTTTAATTATTTAATAAGGTATTAACTACAAGAATATATACTAAATAAACTAATTGTCTAATTTACTATAAATATATTTTTTGGGAATAATCAATTAGGATAAATTCATTGAGCTGGTTAATTAATTAAAGTTTATTAGTTCTAACAGTAATTACAATAGTTAATGATACAATTATCAGATGATAAATAAATACAAATTGATTATAGGGAGCGCTTATTAACAGGGCGCTTAAATTATTACAATTTGCAAAGGGCAGCTGTCCTGATCCTCTTTAGTTTTAAGTGCAAACTGCATGGATTGCTGCCTTGTTGTGGCGAAGGGGCTTGAGTGATTCAGAGAAGCTATGCCGTGCAGGAACACCCAAGACGGACAGGTCATAGTGGAGAGTTTTGACTAAATGCGATCCACTTGGTGCAGGAACTGGCAAGCCACTCCAGTATCTTTGCCAAGAAAACTCCATGGACAGAAACAAAAGGCTAAAAGATATGATACTGGAAGATGGAACCCTCAAGTCGGAAGGCATCCAACATGCTACTGAGGAAGAACGGAGGACAAGTACAAGTAGCTCCAGAGTTGATAAAGTGTTTGGGCCAAAGCCAAAAGGACGCTCAGCTGCTGACATGCCTGGAAGTGAAAGGAAAGTCCGATGCTGCAAAGAAAAATACTGCATAGGAACCCGGAATGTAAAATCTATGAACCTTGGGAAGCTGGATGTGGTCAAACTGG